AGTCAAGTCCCCCCACCCACCCACCCACCCAAGAACCAGACCATTAGTAAATGTATGTACAGCTGGACATCCATACAAAATATATCTCTATAAATACATTTATACAAATAAGTTCACACACAGAAAGAGAAGTAAACAGAAATAATAAAAAATAAATTAAGAAAGGAAAAAACAAACACATTAAATAATCATCATAAATAATAATAATGGCATTTTAAAGAGCTCTCAAAAATAAGTATATTTTACATAGACAATTGCATTAGAATGATCCAGTGCAATGTATCACATTTAGAGCTACAGCTAATTTCCTATGCACCGTCCTTAGAACATTTTAAAAGACATGAACAGTAAACATTTAGATGCCCCATATTTGACATCAACTAGTGTTTAAAAAAGTCCCTTTTAAAATTTAAAGGACAAACTGGTATGGAGATGATTTCGCCAACACTGACTTTCTTAAATCCTTATGACCAACTGAGCTGACGTAATATGACCATAAAACATCAGCCAGCTGTAAATCAAGTTAACGTACTGTACGTGTCACAGTGTGAGAAGGTCTAAGATCTAAAACAACTATCCTTACCCCTGCAGCAAATGTCCGATCTGGATACCAAGATTCAGGAGAAGGCCAGGCATGTGGACATGGACATCTGCAGGCGGATCGACATCACGGCCAAACTGTGCGATGTGGCTCAGCAACGCAACTCAGAGGACATGTCAAAGATGTTCAACGTCAGTCCAGCCAGGTCGCTCCCAGAGAGGGTGGGTATCCATCACTGTTTGTCAGAGGAGCTGACGGTAATCGCAGCAAAAATATGAATTCCTTTATGATAGAGTCAGCACTCTATAAATGAAATCAGAGCTGCCAGTGGCTGACTGTGTGTAGTTTCTTTTTCACCGTCTGATCATGCACTGAGTGACCCTTCTGGAGGTGCAGGAATGCGTGCCTGCGTGTTCGCCAGTACACACACACACAAACACATACATGTACAGAATACTTACAGTAGTGACTAACATATACATGTGCACACACACGCAGAAAAGTGGAATGCTGATGTGGTAACTCCTCACCGCACACAAGGTTATCACATTGCGCCGACAGTGCTGGCTAAAGCCCAAGTATAAATCCACTGGGAATCAAGCTGGTGGCTTCTCTTATGTTGTATGTTGTTATACAGAATGTACCTACTTTCAGTGGGTTTTCTTGTATTTACAGTATTTACAAAGCAGATTTCACACAATAAGTCAAGAAGCAGGCTTTGTGTGTATTGAGTGCTGATGAGATCAAAATCATCAAACAGCGGTAGTTTTCGTCAATACTACATATTTATTTCATAAGCTACGTGCAACAACAATTAAAATCATGTTTTGCCACAGGGTTCATCAGCTTCATCCTTGGACTGCTAAGCAACATTTGTGTTTATATCTTTGCGTGTGTGTGGTTTGCAGGGTGCCGGGGCCTGCTGCAGGAGAAAAGAGCGTAAAGCCGTGTCGGATGAGGAGAGCTCAGAGATGGATGCCGAGCCCAGCCCTTTAGAGGAGGAAACCCCAGGGTCGCTCAACATCACGGACGAAATGAAACGCATGCTCAACCAGCTGTAAGACACACTTCAGACACACACACGCACAGAATCAACTCCTCTCGGCTTTGAATAGAACTAAATATGCTCTGCAGTTACACCAGTACAGTACAGTACAGTTGTTTCCTGCAAGGTTGTTTGGATGGACAGAGTGCGTTCCTTCATCTCCCTCTAGTGTTCATATGGAGTGTTGCAATTGACATACAGTATGTTGATTCAGCAAAATTCGGCAGATATAAATAGTGACCCCATATAAATACATTAATTTGGTTTGTTAAAGTCACCGTAGTTATTTTTGGTTGCCTATTAATGGGGTTTACTCTCACAAAAATTGTCTATTTTGGAACACTCCTAAAATACATTTTTAGTTTTTGGCTGTCAGTATACTCGACTGTTCTTGTCTTCCATAAACTCTTTCCCTTTCCATCTTTGTGTCCCCTTCATAAGCGCATCTTCCTCTTTGCTTTTGACCTTTTCTGAATCTGGTCGTGGCCGTTATACTTGTCCTTCCTCTCCTCCCTCTCTTGTTTTGTGTTCCCTCTGTTCCCTGTCCTTGTCCTACACAGACATTGTTCAGATAACTCCTTTGTTGCCAGGCGCGAGACGTTCGAAATTGACGACGACTGTGACAGTCTGACGTGGGAGGAAAACGAGGAGACTCTGCTGCTGTGGGAGGACTTCACAAACTACAACATACCATGCACCATTGCCGCAACAGCCTGCACAAACTCCTGCCCCACTGATGGCAACGGTGAAGCCGCTGATCCAGTGAGTCCTGTCTACATTGATGGTCCTTTGCACAGTATATAGTTTTTAAACTCATGCAAGGCCGTGTGTAGATCATTGCTATGGGTGCTGTGTCAGACATTTACTCATGCATGATGAATGAGGCCTCTGTCTGTGCTCTCTAAGGACTCCCAGGATGGAAGTCTTGGCAGCCTCATTGATGAAACAGAGTCACTATTTAAGACCAGAGAGCAGGAGTACCAGGAGACCATCGGCCAGATCGAGGTAGACAGTCTGTGTGTGTGTGTTTTGGTGTGTGAAAAAAAGACTTGCAAGCACAATGGATTAAAGCGGATTAAAACATGAAACAAGAAACATTAGCCGGGTCCCAAATCCATACAACATATTGATTCTAAGCAGATTTTTAGTATGTAGTGTGCTCAAGTGACAAATAATGTATATTCAAAGCAGACAGTATGCATGTTAAATACAGTAGATTTTTTAGTGTGTTGTTGATGGACACTCTTCACCCACAATGCAATGCAAAAAAGGTAACAGAGGAACTACTCACTGCTGGGCAAAATGAAAATAAATTGTGTGTGGTTGTGAAACACCTCCATTTGTTTTCTACCATGAATTTAATTTGCAGTGACATCGTAAGTCACAGTTTGATTGACAAACAAAGTGGCACACTTTGTATCATTTCCAGTTAGTATAAATAATTAGTATAAAAGTATATTGATATTTTGGGGTGATTAACTAACTGCTAAAGTAGTATATTGTGATTATAGTATGTATTACATGCTGTATAAAATCTGTATGTAGAATGGATTTTGGATAAGGCTAGTACAGGAAATGCTCCATCTTTTATATTTTATTCTGGCCATTAAGTGTTCACTTGGACACTGTTCAGTTAGTCGCTGTTGGTTCAAAAATTCATTTATAATTATGGAATAGATTGTTTCATTAACATATAAAGTTTAAAATGGTAGACCATGTTAAAATTTGTATACCAATTCAACATTATTATATTATTTTGAGATATTAGCTGGGAGGATGTTTCATTAAAAAAACAACAACTAATAAAGCTAATTAACATTCCCTACCCACCTTTCTTACATCCTCCCTCTATTTAATCTGTTTACCTTCTTTTAGATGGAATTGGCCACGGCAAAGAGTGACATGAACCGACACCTGCATGAGTACATGGAGATGTGCAGCATGAAGAGGGGCCTGGACGTGCAGATGGAGACCTGCCGACGGATGATTAAAGGAGGCAGGAACTCTCCCTCTATCAGCTCCGTGGCCAGCAGCGACTCAGGGAACACAGACGAGATCCAGGACGAGATTTCGGACAAGGACGCAGAGGCTGAAGTGCCCGTTAGTTGATGGCCGCATAGCCGGGCTTTGTCCCATCTCCTCCTGAACGCCACTCATTCTCACAGGGGTTAAATGTGTATAGAGCTCCATCCTGCTAGAGAGGTGGAACAACCTTAATCTGGGCCTGTTTTACCTAAATAAAGTTCTGATAGTCGTGCTCACTGATGCACGCCCAGAACCGGTGCTTTTATACTATTTCTGTTGTTTAGAAAGTGGTGGTAGGGTGTCTTTGCTTCACAAAGAAAAAGGGTGCAAATAGTCCGAGCTGTGCTCTCTTCCTCACTGCTGCCTCGCTGGATCCTTGTCCAGAGCTTCACATCATTTCAGGGGAGCAGAAAAAAAATTTCTCAAATGTTTTAAACCGGCTGAGAAGTATTTTGTACAAATTCTTACCCTATTAATGTCCTTTTTTTCTAAAGGAATTGAAAATAGTACATATTGTGCTCCTCGACATAATAAAAAGTGGATCCATCTTTAAATATACTTTTTAATATTTCATTTCAATTTAAAAATGTCTGTGCCCTTCCATTGGACCATTATTTTGTTTTTGACATGATTTACGAGAGTCCAGGTGGGGTGTTTGCAATCCAAATTAAACAGCTTGGGGTTTAAGTGTCTTCTGCCAAGGAGACAAAACAAGGACTGGAGACGAATGGTGTTGGAGTCCTGGTGGTTTCTGAGGGAACTCTGCAGGGTTGCCAAAGTTGACAGAGGAAAGGAGCACAGCCTTTTGATGCATCAGTGCACTATTGACATTCTATGCAATTTAGCTGGCCTTATTTTTGGACTGGCTTTTCACCCTTCCTCGTTTCTCTTAAAACCAGTACAGTTAGCCTTTTAAGCAAAGCAGGTGTTTTCTATGTATGATTTTGAGAACTTTTTTTTTGTGTGTGTGTGTGAAATAATCTTAGTATGGGACATTTGTTTTCTCATGGACATCCAACAGTAAAAACTGGAACAGTGCCCCCTCAACAAGGGACTAATATCTTCATTCATTACTATAATCAACATTTGCCAGATGCTACTTGCTACTGAAACAGGCAGTGCATTGTTGTGATTCTGATGTATGCTGTTCTTGTCTTGTGCATTTTATGTTGTGCACATCAAGACATATCATTTTAAATGGCTAAAATCCAACAGTTCTTATAATAGAAATCAAATTACAGTCATCAAAGCCAAACAGTACCCTCCAACATCTTAAACAAAACCAAAGGACACATTTTGTAAAGGTTTCCTTTCACATAATCTTCATAAATTACTTTTTATTTTTATTTTGGAGACACGACTTCTTTGTTGATGTGTGGTTTCATTATGAGACTGTATCCTGTTGTTCTGCAGGGGACTCTGTTCCAGGCGGGTTGCACATCCTGCTTTGCCTCCTCTGAATGAGCTAAAAGTGTCAGACTGTACATAGAGGGCTGTCGGCATGTGATCATACACCCCAGAGGCCTTTTTGTTCATATTAGTCTTTTTTGCAACAAACTGAGATGTCTGACAATTTTCGCTTTTCAGTGCTCTCACTCACTGGATTAGCGTAGGAACCGACCGACGCATGGGGACAGAAGTGATCTTTTTATCACCTCTTTGTATTATAATGTATGTACGGTTTGCTGGATCAAAGATTAAGTGCTACTTCTATCTTGAAGTTTTACAAAAGCAGAATGTTAAAACACAGGCCTTTTGTTATTTCAGCATGTTTGTGTGGAGAAAAAGCTATGGGTCTTTTTTTTTTTTTATAACATTATTTTTTTTAACTAAATTGCTGCAATGCAGACTGTTTTTTTAATCAAAACAGTGTCTATCCTAATCATTAATTAATTGTATTTGTGGCAGAAAATGTATTTTTCACTGTTTTTTAATCATTCTACGTTAACCAAAAAGTGTGTTATTGTTGCCATATTCTGCTTTTTGTTGATTTCGCAGGACTATTAAAACTTGATCCAGACGTTTTGGTCACTTATTGACCAGATCAGCTCACCCATAATAAAAACTAATTGATCATATAAGACAAGAATGAGGAAGAGTCCTGCTCACAGAGAACCTCTCTATGTTTGAGTTGATGTAAAACCAGCCTGATAAGTAACAAAGAGCCATTCTTCTATTGGTACTGTACTTTGTATCGATGACATGAAATGCTTTATTTATTGATGGTACGGCTGTTAACATCCAGAATAGTTTGCTGTATTTCACTCCTCCTCGTTGAGATTGTAGCCCCCACATACCACTCAGACCATCACACTAACCAGCCAACCAAAGCAAAGTGTACAGTAAACATGACAAAGATGTAAATCAAGCTATGAATCCTACTAACTCTGGAAAGTCTCAGTGTTTATACACACCTACTGCAGATCTGTTAGTTTGCAGACATTTACCTGATCCCCCCCGCCCCCCCCCCCAAAATCAGCAATTCTATGAGACATTTAGTGTGTTATCTCCCTTTTCATCTCTTGAAGCAGGTCAAATTCCAACGACATCCAGTCGATAAAACTGTAGCAACCCTCCTTAATGAATGTAGCTTGATTGGAGGCTTCCTCTAAAGTCCTTACAAGTAAATGCTGAGCAAAAAAATAATAAAAATGTAGCTGTTTAAATCCAGGGATATATGGTGTGCCGTTACTTACTGGAGACCTTGGTATGTTTTGCTTTATTAAATGGGTTCTTACCTGACCAACTTACAGTATGTGACCTAGGTGTATGTAAATGAGGTCCTGGTTGATGTGAATGTTTCATACTAAAAAGGGTTTTATACGATTGGTTTTTATCAGTGTAGCACTGGGATTATACGGTTGTGTTAACTGTGGTGTCAACATACAGTTTTACATGTTCATCGGCATACCCGTTCAATGTAATTATTGCCTATGTTTAATTTCATAAACATGACGGGGAAATAAAAGGTGCAGCAATACTTATTTGGGTAAAATTTACAGAACTGTATTGGACAGTTTTTGTGTTTCATTTGCATTATCCTGTTGATTTCATTTTAAGTGGTTGATTCGTCTGCTTTAATTTAATTGCTTATCTCTCCTAGATTTGTGGGTTTATTTTGTTTAAACTATTGATACAGTGTATTCATGTGGGTCTGGGGCAGGCTGTTTCAAAACTGATGAATGTACTCAATTGATATTGGGGGTAAAATGAAATAAAATGGTGGATTGAATAAAAATCTAGGCTAATTCGCTTCCTTTTTTTTTTTAATACTTTCCACTCAATCTGTTCTAATTTAAAGAATAGGCTTCATGTGTTCAGAGAGTGAGTTTTGTGTTAATATAATATAATTTAATGCCCTTTTAATGCAGGTAGTTGTTTTGGCATTAGAGGTTGTGTCCAGAATGTGCACTGATGGATCTTAATGACTCAATATACAGTGGAAATAGCTCACATACACACATACTGTACATCTGACCTTTTTACTTTGGCATAGAAAAACCAGACAATGTGTTAGTATATGAAACATGCAAGAACTTTGCAGTAATATTTCTAAATCTTAGAGTAGAAGAGGCATATTATGCTACACTTAAAGCAGCAACACCTTTTGGTTAAAAGGAACTAAGTTAGCTCATTAATCATTAATCTCATTAATCCGCCACCACAACAGCTCTTCTTATTACAGATTTCATACAAGGCTAAAGTGTCATTTTCCTTTTAACCACTCAAATGCAATTTGTTCAAGTAAGTGGTGAAAATACATATAAAAAGGACATTTATTTCATAATGCACCTTTTAAAATGATGTTAAACTATTTACTATGCAATTTAAAACATTGGGTCAGTCATTCTGGAGAAAGATTGATTGTTGAGCCTAATTTGCACGTCATCAAATACAGATGCTGTGGTGCTTTTCTGGTAAATGGGAAACAAACAGGTTGCGTTCATGCTCGCAGGTATCTTGATCCAGAATGGACTCCCTCCTTTCATTAAAACAAACATAATGCACATAAAAAAACAAAGTGACACAGTATTTTCATGCTAAAACACATAAAAAGATTCTGTCCCAAAACAAAGGTATAGAGGATGGCACAAACAATAGCTTTTACTTTTTACTTTACTCAAAAAACCCTTAAACTGCTTTAATCCTCAAATGTTTCTGAATTCATCTCTTCAAAGTTAACCAGGGGTTGCGGCAATGAACCGACGCAGACAGAGACACTGCGATCAATATCAGCTAACTCGCTAATTTCACACCAGTTGATTTTTAGATGAGTATACGTGTGTACATGTCCAAATCTCCTGTTCTCCTCCTTTCTATCTGTAACTAATCTGTCTGTCATTTTCATCCCTCTATCTCGAGGAACACAATTCTTTTGGCCACCTCCTCCTCACTGAATTTCTCTTGCAGCTGCTGTCGGACCGCAGGATCGCCTGAGCGCAAAAGAACGTCATCAGACCGTTTCCAAAACGGTCCAGAAATGGAGAGGGGACCCAAAAGCAGATCCAGAGCTGCAGAGAAGTCTCCGCTGGTCTTCAACAGCGCTTTGGTCACACTGACTAAGTCCTACAACAGAAATAGTTAGGGTAGCTTAGAAATTATTAGAAATTATATAATATTCCCAAACAGCATATAACTAAGAATAAAGAGCGTATAACTGTAGCATATAAACCATCAGTGTCCTGATGCTCTTTATGATCAATAAGACTGCAATAAAAAGGTGCATCTACTGCTCGGCACTCACCTGGTTGGCTTGCTTCATCAGCTCTCTTACCAGCTGCTTGTCCTCTTCCAACTGGACTTGAGTCAGTGAAAAAGCAGCGTCTTTGTTCACTCTTGGCTGTAGGTTGACTATATTGTCACCAAAAATGGATTCAAAGTCTTCCTCCTGAGACTCATTGTCGAATATGAATAGGTGGGCTTTGGAGGTTGCTTTGACAGCCGATGGCTTGATGGCTGCCGGTATGGTGCAGGCTCAGCGCGCTGCCATGTACAACAACTGCCAGGCTCAGTGGCTGCAGGCTCAGTGGCTGCAGGCTCAGTGGCTGCAGGTACAGGGCAGCCTGTCTCCGGTAGGGACTTGCTACTGGAGGCCTGGTTCTCCTGCACGTTCTCTTGGAGGCCAGGTCCACGTTCAGGGTTGGACTGTGTGGACACAGCCGGGTCTGACGAGGGGACGGGGGGTTTTGTCGATGTGGGTTGCTTCGTTGCTGTTTCAGTTGGGTTTTGGAGGTCAGGAGTTTCATCCTCATCAGACTGAGAGACAGAAACATTTTAAGTTTAAATACTTAAAGAACAGGGGAAAATAATCACAGTCTTTGTGTTCATTTGAGCCGATTATTATATAAGTGATTAAGCAAGAGATGATAGTACCTAGAGCTGAGTGTTTTTGTGAGTATTGTAATTTGTTTATCGACAAATAAGCTGAAACCTAAAGACAATCAATTCATTCTTAAGTCCTTTTTCAAGCACAAATAACAACTGTCCCCAGTTCCAGCTCTTACACTTTATATAGGATTCATTGTTTTATAGACCAAACTATTTAAAGTAATAATCCTTATTTGAAGTCCGAATAGCAAATAAATAGGTTTAATGAGAAAAGTAATGAGCTGAAAACCATAATATCAACATAACCCTCAGGAATTCCAGGTTTATTCAGCTCAATCACATTCAGGAGTATTTACTCAAGAGTAAGTTACTTGCTGAATCTTTAATAAGCTGTAAATGAGCTACTTAACAAGTAAGACTAGTGTGGTGGAGGTGGGTTCTTCACTGTTGTTGGGTGGGCGGGTGTTTGCACTTTGCATTTTAATGTAACATTGCCTTGCTTGCTACAAATGTGCTATTCCAAAATCAGCGTTGTGTCTTACCTCATTTTCATCTTCAAACTCCTTTGTAGCCAGCTCTAGAATCCCCAACTTTCTCTTTTCTTTTTTCTTCTCCGCTTTCTGTGGCACTGAATCAGATTCTGCAAAAGAAAACATTTTACTCAAATATCTGTGGTGTAAAAGCTTGCAAAGATATTAAGCTGCTGTCTGTGCGCTTTGTGTCCCACACTGGTAGATGTGTATAACAAAACCTGCTTGTGTTGTTTCAGAGACCGTAGCTTGTCCACTCTCCTCCTGTTGACTCTCTGTCTCTGACACACTCTTTCCTCTGGCTCTCTTAGTAGGCGGCTGGTCGACTGTCGTGTCTTTTTGAAGAGCGGATTTAACAGCTTCTTTCGTTTTCCTCAAGGGCTGGGGAGATGACGACGATTGCTCAGCAGAACTTGATGCCGATCTGAGTTTTTTGCCGTACGGCTCAGGAGACTCGTCAAGCTGAAGCTGCCTGCGTGTTAATCGGCGCGGTGGTTGTTCCAGCCTGGGGGAGGACTCCTGTTTCTCTTTTGGCTTCTTCTGAGAAGAGGTGCTGGGCAGAGACTTGGGCTGAGCTGGCGGCGAGTCCACTGGCACGCTGTCTTTTTGAGGAGAGACTTTTGTTTGTGTTTCATCTGTTTCTGGTTCTGTGCTCTCAGCTGGAATAGGGGGAGCATCTGCCTGAGGGTCAAAACAAGGTCCCTCAGGTTGGGGGGAGTTAAATACTTCAGTCTCTACTTGTGCGCTTCCAGCTGGTTGTTTATCAGTCTGTGGGTTCATGTGTTGGACTTCTCCTTCCGGAGAGACAGATGTTTGACCTTCTACAGTTTCTGGTTGTGTGCTTTCAGCCGGTATAAACTGGTCATCTATCTGTGGAGACACAAAACAAATGATTAAATCACATACATTATGACTAAATAATAATAATAAAGTATATACAGTACATTACAGTTGTGTTCATTGTAGCAGTGAGTTCTGGTTAGTACCTGTGTTTGGTCTGATTCTGTTGAATGTTTCTGAGGAGAAGCAGCATCTTCTGCCCTGGAGGGTTTTTCAACATCTGTCTCTTGATTTTCTTCCACCTACAAGCAGACAGAGGAGAAACTTTAGTCTTTTGAAGTCTTTTGAAATCTGGCGCCGCCCAGTGGCAGTATAATAAAATACACTTGTGTCTTAAGCCTCTGCGACATCCACCATGGCTTTTGGTTATTTTTTTCAGCAGCTATTTCACAGTCTCATAACTTGTGGACAAAATATAATTTCATTATTGTTATTTTATGACAGTTTCATTCTTTACACAACTGCACCAAAGAGGAAAGGCTTTTGCAATGTTTAGGTAAAAGCTAAGAGCCCATAAATGATATATGATATGTCTTATATTTTGTTCACATCCATTTAAATACATGAGGGGGACATAGTATCAAAAACACCTTTCAGTATATTGCAGTACAATATACCAAAACTACTCAAAATTACCACAGTTAAATAAACACCTCTCTTGATACTGTGTCTGAATATGATAAACTTCACAAATGTTGGATTTATTTCCGAACTGCTGCACCTAATTGGACGTTAGACTGAGCAGTGGTACTGTTTTGAAAGCTGTGCCTATAAATTTTGAAAGAAACGTGTGATAAAGAGAAAATACCCGGCAACACCTTGCAGATAAATTACCTTGATCTCTCTCTCTGCTGCCTCGCTCTCTTCCTCTTTTGCTGTCACCTCCACAACCTCTGACTGTTTCTTAGCCAGTTGTATTCTGTAACGGTATTTCATCGACTGCCAGCTGTGACTGGTCACTCGCTGCTTCGCCATCTCTTGCCAGAGCCGGTTTCCCCCGATTTCTGTCTTGTGCTTGCTGACATAACTCAAAATGGCAGCGTCATCTTCAGTTGTGTAGGGAATCCTGCCTAATTACAAAGAAAGGAGATACACATCAGTAGCAACAAGAGTAACCAAAATAGATAGATACCGATAGATACGATACGATAGGACTAGATAGATAGAAAGATAGATGATAGATAGATTCTTTATCCCCGAAGGAAATTGGGTTGTCATCTAGCCAAGCCAGGGTACATTAAAATCCAATAGACATAAATCAACAAGAGAATAAAATACTTAGTATAAACTGCTGGTTTATTCTATTTGGCTTTTAAAAGTTAATAGAGAACCATAGGCGTCAACTAATGTGAGAGTTTTTTTTTTGAAAATGTGCATGACAAAGAGCATGTTAGGTCTTTCCATCCCATACCTCCTAAGAGTCCAGGGAGGCGCTCTTTGATATTATGGAGTCAGCAGACTGTCTCGGGACCCACTTCAGGATGTAACCTGTACCTCATACAAACCATCTGTTCATCCTTCTCAAAAACCAGTCGGAATGTACTCTGTGGGACACGTACCTGAGGACAAAAGAGGCAGCAGATAGCTCGATTAAGAAAAAACATACATATACATGGAAATGCCTTCAGCCATACCTCTGCTGTCTAAAGTCATTAATATAAAGCAACATGTTTCCAGTAACAAGCTATTAAAGTGTCCGGCAACCTTGAGTTTGTATTCTGTTCAACGTCGATGATACACGCCTAAGTGAGATTAACCATGTTTTTCACTTGATTAAGCCACCTCCTTATAGGTCACAGAATGCTGTTTCAATTGTCTGAATTGTAGGATTGTGATCTTCAACAAACATGCGCGCTATCTGCGCTTTCAGTGAGCCTCCTTAGAAGACTGGCCGTGCACAAACAACTACCCACTGTTACATTATGACAGTGTGGTGATG